ATCTTTTCAATACTTTAAAAATATTATCATTGTCAGAGTGCTCAGTCACTGTCAGGATGGCTCAGTCAGTTAAGAGTCTGCCTTCGGCTCAAGTCATGATCCCAGAGTCATAATCCCAGATTGAGCCCTGGGTAGGGCTCCCTGCTCAGCTGGGAATCTTCTTCTACCTCTCCCCCTGGCCCTCCTTGCCACCGGTGCTGTCTCTCAAATAAATAAATAAAATCTTTAAAATAAAATTAAAAAATAAAAATATTACCATCGTCTTTGTTGTTCACATAATGTCTAAGATCCTTTTCCATTAGAACTGACCTGTTTTCTCTCTCTAGAAACTCTTAGAATTTTATCTTTGCTTGTAAGATTTTTTATTTTACTATAATTTTACTAAAGGTTTCTCCTTATCACTCTTGTTTGGTGCTGCATATGAGGTTCTACAACTTGAATTCTGGGAAATTTGTTCTCATTACTTCAAATATTTCTTCTCCACTTTTATTTTTCTCTTCTTAAAAGAAGACTTCAGCTACCTCCATTTTGACCTCAAACTTTCCGATTCAGTAAATTATTTCCCACTTATCTCTTAATTTAGGCAAAAGACGCTACAGGCAGAGCATACCCCATAGAAACTGAAACTGCTCCTCAAGCAGTAAGGACTGCCCTGAGCCAGCAAGACCCCATCCATGACTGACCCCAAGACAATGATCCACCTGATTCTTGCTCCCCACCTGCATATACCCAACAACCTTTGTCCCACATTTTCCTTATGTAAACTTAGAAGTATTTTCAGCACTTTCATTCTTTGTGACACTAGTCCACTGTCTTCCCAGTGTTGTCCTCACTGAAATAAATTCTTTTCTTGTTTTACCACCATTGGGTTTTGTCAGTGGAGAATGACCAAATTTGGTCTTTTTGGTACCCCCAGAGCCCAGTGCTCTTGCACCCCTGCACCCGACAATGTCTTGACACTCTACTTATCTATAAATTGAAGTTTTCATTGCAATTCAGTCTTTATCTGAAATTCACTCTTTAACTTTTGTTTTATGTATTCTTTTTCTTCTTCCCTGCTTCCTTCTGGAAGAGCTCCTTAATCTGATCTTCCAGCTTGCTCATTTGTTTTTCAACCATGTCCATTCTACCTCAACTGTTACATGATTTTTGCTCTTACATATTTTTCATGCCTGGTAATTCCTCTTGACTTCAATGCTTTTCTTACCAACTATTATTATGGCTATTTTATATTTGTTAAACCTTGGATTTAATATATTTGCTTCTAGTGTCATCTTTGATTCAGGCTGTTGTTTTCTTTTGAAGTAGTTGTGCTCCTAATGTGTCATTACTTTGGCCTGTGAGCATATATTTCTCTGATGGTATCAGCTATTCTGAGCATTTGGTGTGGGAAAAGACCAAAGGGTAAATCCCAGTCTATGTCAACCTCCAGTGAGTTTAAGGAGGGGAGAAGGGATAACCCTAGGGTGAGAGCACCAGAGTACCATCATTAATTGCTCTGGCTGGGTATCATGTCATTAAGCAACTCTTGAAGTCAGGGCCCTATTTTCAGACCCACTCCACCCTCCACCCCTGAAGGAGAAGCAGTCTTAAGAGAAGCAGTCTTAAGAGTACTTCGATTATAATTCACCAGCCCTCAGGGCTAGAGGGAGTTGTGGTGGCTTGTTCCATAAATGCTCAAGGGCAGTCATCCCCACCAGCTTTTCACACTCTGGCTTCTGGTTATGAGGCCATTGAAACCAGTAGTCTGAGCCTCCATTGCTAATTCCACAAAGCCTTGCAGCATTTCTTTTCCTTCAGTGCCTGTGGTTCTTGGTCACACCACTTCAAAGAATGAAGAGAGAGACCAGGCAAAGAGTGGTAGGCAGCAAAGCAAAGTTAATTGGGTGACAGTACAAAGCTCCCCAAGCCAGAGTGCACTCCAGAGGGTTGCCCTGGGAGTTTCTAAGTCTAGGGGTTTTTATGAGATTGTTGTAGGGCTGTTTTAATCTGATTAACCCTCCGTATCCTGTCACCCAATCAGGTTTTTGTACACGTGCTCATCTACCTATCAGGTAGTTGTTTATGTGGCAAAGGGTGGAGCGCTCCTTTCAGGGTGGTGTAGAATAACAAGATGGGGTCTTTTTCCTTTTAAGGGTAATTTCCTCTTAGGACAGGAAGGGGTAGGGTTGGAGGAAGGGGAGGGTTGGTAGGGAAGGCTAGCCCCTGCCTGCCTTTCTTCCAACTATGCTCCATTAAAAGTGTCCTGCCCCAGGTTTCAGTTATACACACAGATATGTGTGTGCGCACACACACACACCCCATGCTTCCCTGTTCCTGGACATTTTTCCTGTCCCCCCACCCCCATCATTTCCTAGTTTCATGATGATTTTCCTCTACAATTCTTCCAAGATTGATCTTGGGGCCAACATCCATCCCCTGGTAATTTCTATCTTGGCTAATTTAGAGCTTTACATAGATTTATACTGGACAAATTATGAAACGAGTATCCTTTGGGAGCTTGGCTGCATTCAAAATCTCCATTACAATGCTTACCTACCTGAACGTCTTATCCCTATCATCAAGGTCTCTATGCTATTCCTTGACTTCTTCACATTCCACTAATTGATGCTTATCTTTGCCCTATGGAGATACCTTATTAACCCCATCATGAAACTAATGGGGAAAATTAGAATAGCAGAGAGGAAGGCCTAGAGACTTTTTCTCCATGTAAACAAAGTGCATTTAAATTGTGATTTTTCTGAAGGCTATTGCATTTGCTTTGTTTAATCCAAAGGAATAAGGCTTTACAGAAGGGAAGTAGCAGGCTGCTGGAGGAGACATTTTAGGCAAATGTGATTTTTTAGCTTTCAAATTTCAACTGTGTAGAATCACATATCCATATAATAATTCCAATTAATGCTTATAAGCTAACAACAATTATTGTATAAGTCAACTTGTGTCTTCTCAAGTCTAATGGATCAAAATCTACTTCTTGATTTGATATATAGAATATCATGTAATGTGGTCCTAACCTACACCATCAGCCTATCCTTCTAATATCCTTTGTAACTCTTCAGTAGTGATATTTTCAGCTTCTTCCCACCTGAAGATACAAATCTTTTCACTTTCGCTGGTAAAGTTCTCCCTACATCTCATGCCCTGGCTTACTCCTAAATGCCATTTCCCTAGGGAAATTTCTTGACCTCTACACCCCCAGACCAGATCAGGACCTCATGTTACACAATCTTATAGCAGGCAGTACTTTTCTTTTAGAGCATTTACTGTAATTGAAATTAACCAGTGAAATATATGGAGAAGAGGGAAATTGGTATAACTACTGAGAAGCAGGAAAGAAAGCATTTGAATTCATTTTTTTTGAGCAAATAAATATCCAACGCTTATTATGTTCCAGGCATTGTATCAAGTAACTTGGAATATAGTGGGGATAGAGGTAGACCACTCCTCTTCACTTTAATCACCCATTCTTGAGGATCTTCCCTGGATCTTACCACCACCTAAAATAATATCTAACTCAAATATACCAGCACAGACATGACTCTTTCTCAGGATCTTCCCTGCCCTCACTCTCATCTCATTTATACTTCACAAATTCTTAAGTCCTCCACTTTCCCATCCATCTCCCTGTCCCTTCTTATCCTCCTGTATTTCTCTCTCCAGACTGCATAGTGCTTGTTTTCAGTGGGTTTTTCTTGCCTAATTCTCAACTCCCTTCCCCCTTTAACATTCAGCAAACTCCAGCCCTGTATCCATCTGACATCCAGGATACCAGACATTGCCGGAAAAGTCCCATGAGCATGTGGATTGGTATTCCTACCAATTCATGGTTTTCCCCCCTCACTTGAATTATCTTGGAACTTCCTGTTGCCCAGCAAGTTTGCTATGTGTCCTAGGCAACTTCCTCCCTCATTCTCATTGCAGATTTTTCACCTCCACAACTCATCTAAAGCTTCCATTCCTCTATTCTCACACTCTGTGGATGATCTGCTTCCTACTGCACAGAGGGTACTGATGCCAATGGTAAAGATTCTGCATTGTAAAATACCCACTTACCTGCAGACAAAGCAGCCTTGCTTCCTTTCCAACCTACACCTGAGTAAGGGAGGCATCTCACCTCCTCACCAAAGAGTCCTTTGTGTTCTAGATTTCTTTGTCCTTTGCTCTCATCACCTCTACTTCAATCTCTCCTCTGACTCTTTCCAAAAAATTAAGTCTACCAATTAAAAAAAAAAAACAAAAAAACCAACTTCTCTTGACTCTATGTCCCATCTACCTTCATTCTTTCACAGACAAATTTCTTGAAAAAAACTATCTATACTCCTTTTTCATCACTCTTCCCATTCGATGAATTCTTTCCATCTTTACCTTGCTTGAAATCTGTTTCATGATTGAGAGTATTACTTCCTTTTTGAAATTCTTCTGCCTCTCCTTGGTAGGGAGGGGATGCTTCTCTTATTTTCCCACTCCTGTGAGTGCTGAACAAATAAGATTCTGTTTTTTCCTTCACTCTTTTATTTGGAAGGCAGGGGTTTAAGGAGAGGGGTAGGTGGGTGACTTGTTTTTGTATTTTATATTAAAAAATTTTTTTAAAGATTTTATTTATTTGAAAGAATGTGTGCGAGGGAGAGCAGGACAGCACAAGCTGAGGGGAGGGCCAGAGGGACAGGGAGAAGCAGACTCCCCACTAAGCAGAGATCCTAAAGCAGGACCAGATCCCAGGACTCTGGGATCATGACCTGAACCGAAGACAGATGCTTAACTGACTGAGTCACCCAGGTGCCTCTGTATTTTTATCTTTAGACTAGTGAACTAAGCAAATAAATTTTAATCCCCAGTCTTGGTGACTAAAAATATATGTAAATTTAAAAATAATTTTTGTAGTTACAAACAAGAAATTTAAGTTCAAACATTTAAACCATCTAAATGAATCTGGTAAAATTAGGTCAAAATTAATAGTCACCAAAATTGGATAATTATATTAAAAAACAAGTGTACACAGTTGTGGCTCCCAAAATACACCTACAAAACCAGAAATAACAAGTCTACTGGTAAATTAGCTAATAAGGTTCCATTTTTTACAATATAACATATTTTCTAAGACTTCAGATGAGAAAAGAATGACTCTTTACTTACTTGTAATGTTTATTCCCTTAAGAGATGACTCATAATGGTGAAAACTCAAAACCAGGCCCCTCATGAATCTGTGGGTGTATCCCCTGAGCTGTGAGTAACAGGTGGCTGCAATGTCTTCTCCTCAATGCTTGGTATTCCCATTGCATGATACCCTCTGCATCCTTGACTTCACCTAACAGTATAATCAATCTCTAAATTTTCTACCTAGTTCTCTCCACTGAGCTCCAAAATTATGTATTCAGAGCTTATAAACAGCAATGAGAACACATAGCTCCTAGCACAACTCACTCTGTGCCAGCACCCAGTCATAATATATGTTGATATTGGCAAATTATTTGTCTTCACAATATCTTCATATATATTAGAGAAATAAGGACTAAGTGTCTGAATGAAATAAATTGTATGTTGAGGACTGGGTTCAGATTTTCATCCACTTTTGTATGTTTAGTGTCCAGCAGAGTAAATGGTACATGGTAAGCTCTCAGTAATTGGTTGCACCTGTTACTCCTGTCAAAAGCCTGGTAGCAATCTTCAATATCTCTGTCTTCCTCATCCCTTATATTTCATCACTGCCACAGTTGGAATCCATTGCTCCAGCAGCTTCCTACCAGTTTCAGCTTCAGAATTTCTTTGAAGGGGTTGAAGAGCAGCAGTCTGGCTAAAAGGAGAAGAGAGAGACCTCCATGACTGGGTCTCCTATCTTTCCATTTTGTCTGTGAACTCTTTCATCACTGAGTCTCAAAGTCCATAATTGATGGCAGTTATCTGAACACATCATGCCTCCTCATACCTTCAGGACCATCGCTCATGATGCTTCTTCTTCAGATGCTCATCCAAGCTTTTCCCACCTGGGCAAGTCTTACTACACCTTCACAATTCAAGTTTCATCTTTTGGAAGCCTTCCTGCAAACCCTTAAATTAAGCTAAATGCTTCTCCTTTAAGCTCCCTGTGCAAACCTCTTCTCTTGGCTCTCACCACATTAAATTATAAGTATTTGTTTATGTGTCTACCCTCCTCACAATAATCTTCTGAAGTAGGCTCTGCTCTTAGCACTATTTAACAGATAACAAACTAAAGCAGAGAAAGGCTATGCAATTTTCCCAAGGTCACCAGCTAAGAAGTAGTAGATCCACGATTCACATTCAAGAACTCAGATTTTAGAGCTCCCACTCAAAAGCATAAGATCCCCAAGAGCACAGACTAGCTTTTTCACGTTTGCATCCTCCGTGTCATCTATGGTGCCTAGCACATGAATGCAATAAATGTCAAAGTAAACTGCATTTGTGGAGTTCTGCTTAAAAGTTCAAGAATTTCAAAAATGACTAAGATATGATTCTTATCTCAAAGAAGTTCACAAACACCCTATTGAGATTAGGGGAGATTAGTAAAATACTCCAATAATAGGAAATAATGAGCTAAATGGAAAGGAACTGAGAATTGAGTAGCTTGTACTTTGAAATGTTGATATTAGAATACCGAGGACCCTCTTTAGAATCTTATCCCAGTGGTGCCAGGGTGGCTCAGTTGGTTGGGTGTCTGCCTTTGACTCAGGTCATGATCCCAGGGTCCTGCTCCATGGGAGCTGGCTTCTCTCTCTCCTCTCTGCCCGTGCTCTGTTGCTATCTCTCTCTCAAACAAATGAATAAAATCTTTAAAAAACAAACAAAATCTAATTATTTAACAAAACAAAACAAAGCAAAACAAGAATCTTATCCCAATAGTACAGACATAGAATCTTCCTGGGGGCACCTAGGTGGCTCAGGCAGTTGAGTGTCCAACTCTTGATTTCAGCTCAGGTCATGATCTCAAGGTTGTGGAATTGAGCCCTGTGTCAGTCTCCACACTCAGTTGAAGTCTGCCTGAGATTCTTTCCCCTCCCCCTGCTGGCATTATCTCTTGTCTCTAAAATAAATAAATAAATCTTAAAAAAAAAATCTTCCTGGAACTCATGGTTGTATGAAAACCCAAATCCAATGGCTGTTGACCAATAAATTGTTGGACATCAAACTGGAAGACATCAAGTGACAAGCTCTAAAACTCTGGCCCAGGATTTGCCCTGTTTACCAGTTAACCCTACCCGTCATAAGCCATACACTGTGGTAATTATTCTTTATATCACTGTTCTGGTACAATAAAGATATAGAAGGCATGCTGATAGAACTAGCCTATGGCTCCAAGAACAAAGATTAGGTAATATGATACATGGCAGAGTAAAGAATCAAAATGGTTCTATTACCTCAAACAATGAGCAAAATCAGTAAGATGACATTTTAACTATCAGAATTTCCATTTATATTTATAAAAAATAAATTGCCCAGGAAAATGGTAATAATAATTGTTATTTCTAAAGACCCAGAAATTTTAGTTGGCCTTAATCTTAACCCTGGGCTGTAGCTGCCAAAAAGAAAACCAACACAATCTTTGGCTGACAGAGTATGAGTAGAGGTCTAGATCAAAGGACAGATGGGCCAGTGTTCTGCATTGCTTAGACTACACCTGGGCTACTATGTTCAGTTTGGGGAACAATATTTGAAGAGACATTGAAAAACCAGAGTCCACAGAAGCACAAAAAGAAAGGGGAGAGAGCTAGAAACATAATTAGCTAGACTGTGAAGTTGAGAATGTTTTGCCTTGACAATAGAAAAAAAATTACAATAGGTATGTGTCTGTTTATAATGTCTTGCACCAGAGAAAAAGAACTAAAACTGGACAGAAGTCTGAAAGAAGCAGCTTTGAATTCAATATGAGTGTGTATTTTTTACTGAAATGAACTGTTTCACATAGATTACATGTGAGACGTGTAATGAAGCATGAAGCATGAAGCAGGAAACCACGGCTTGATGCCATCTGTCAAGTGTCTAGAGATTTCTGTATCAGATGGGAAGATGGACTCCTATGATACTCTCTGAGATCCCTTTCAAATTTAGGATCCTAAGAAAATCTGTCATCTGGGAGAAGATACAAAAATTTTGAAATTAATTTCAAAGTTTAGAGAGACTCACATGTTCTTCACTAGAGAAGATCCATTGCAGCTAAAACTACACTTGAAACATTGAAACCTGGGGCATGGTTATCCATCCTTTAAAGGAGCCAAAGAAAGTTTTGCTTAAATAATGTCAATCCTCTAGTTTTATTTCCATAATAGTATCTTAAATATAGTGGCACTCACATTTTCATTAACCTGACAGATTGATGCATATTTTGGGAATACTTCTATTTTATACCCATGAAAAGCTCTTGTAATTGGCACAGGTCAGTGATTTGGATTTTCTGATGTACTTTCTGTCTTGTGTAATATAAAAAGCAAAATATTCATTTTAGCTTTTTAATCTCTTTTTTCTAAGCAAGGTCCTGCAATAAAGATTCCACCAGTTTTCTGTTTTGAACTAAATCTAAATTCAGTCCTGAGCCTACTGGTAGGTTGACTTTTATTCAGTCCTAAAAGGATAATACAGTAAAAAATGCAGATGTTGTTCATGATCAAGGAAACATGGTACTTGTCTTTTTTTCAAGTTCATGGACTATCAGCTTCAGCAAAATATGTACAGCACTATGTGAACCATGAAGGATCTTCCCCCTCATATTTCAAATCACTCTTTCATTAACTCTTTGCTAACTCTTCTCCTCATTCTACATTTTTTTTCTAAGTTCAGTATGTTATAGAATTCTTATCTCAGCTTCTCACCAACATTAATTCCTTATATATGTATACCCTTTTGGCTTTTGACATGTTATCATTTTTTAATCAACCGAATGGCAAATATAGTGAACTCACATTAGCTGGGCATATTGCATATTAAAGGTCAAAGAAATAGGAAATCTGGTATCCAGAGTACTCTACCTCATTGATACTAAAACTAGAGATGAAGAAGATGGGAATTAAATGAAGCCTCTCTTACCTTCTCTTTCTTCCTTTTATATTCTTTCGCCTGATGTGTGGTGGTGGTATGTGTTTGGTGGGGGGTGGGGGAGGAAAGGAGAGGAGAAGAGACACACAAGATTAAAATTGCAGAGGGAAAAGTAAATCTCTTGGACTGAGGAAACAGAGCTGAATCACAGAGTCCAAGCTTGCAATACTTAGAACCCTGGAGAAATGTATGTGGACTATTTACAGCCTACTAGTAATTTTCAGTGGTGCACCTGCTGCATTTCCAAAGGGGCAAGGCTTATTTTTGGCACAACCCCTCCTACTTACTTCTCCTCTATCTCTGGCTTCTCTTTCTCTGACCTCCAGACACTCAGCATCCTCATACTGATCTCTGGTTTGCCAAAAACCTGTTGGTACTCCCTGCCATCTCTTTCTCCTCTTTCCAGCTCCAAATCAAGTCTTATTCCCAAACTGTGCAAGGAGGTAGTTGGCCTGGTTATCTGATTAAAATAATCAGATAAAAAAGAGTCTGACTTCTGTTTGAAAGATGTACTTTAAAGGAGGAGGTGTTAGCTTTAGTTGGGTCTTTATTTGCATTTTCTTGTTTTTTTAAATATATTTTTTAATTGAAGTTCAATTTGCCAACATATAGTATGACACCCAGTGCTAATCCCGTCAAGTGCCCCCCCCCTCAGTGCCAGTCACCCCATCCCCCAACCTGCCTTCCCTTCCACTACTCCTTGTTCATTTTCCAGAGTTAGGAGTCTCTCATGTTTTGTCACCCTCTCTAATTTTTCTCACTCATTTTCCCTTATAATCCCTTTCATTATTTCTTATATTCCCCATATGAGTGAAACCATATAATGTTTGTCCTTCTCTGATTGACTTACCTCACTCAGCATAATACCCTCCAGTTCCATCCACATTGAAGCAAATGGTGAGTATTTGTTGTTTCTAATGCCTGAGTAATATTCCATTGTATATATAGAACACATCTTCTTTATCCATTCATCTTTCGATGGACACCGAGGCTCCTTCCACAGTTTGGCTATTGTGGACATTGCTGCTATAAACATTTGGGGTGCAGGTCCTGCCATTTCACTGCATCTGTATCTTTGGGGTAAATACCCAGTAGTGCAATTGCTGGGTCGTAGGGTAGCCCTATTTTTAACTCTTTGAGAAACCTCCACACAGTTTTCCAGAGTGGCTGTATCAGTTGACATTCCCACCAAAAGTGCAACAGGGTTCCCCTTTCTCCACATCCTCTCCAACAGCATTTTCTGGTTCTTGAGTAAGTAGCTTTTCATCAAATTCCCAAATTTCCACTCTCAGAGCACTTAAACACATTCATCTAACTGGCAAAATGTATATGAAAACTCTTTGTGTTCAGGTATATATATGTGGGCTCCTGGTCTAGTTTGACAAACCCTCATCCTACTCTCCTCAATCCAGAAATCTCACCCTCTTCACTTTTGCAAACAATGTAATTCACAGCAGAATAAGATATTGCTTGGGGAGAGTGCAAGACAAGCACAGTGAGCAGGTGGGCAGCCCAAGAACCAGCTGATTTTACACAAAGAATATTAAATTAATGAATACATATACACATACATTTTCATTTAAAAAATTAAAACAGAGGTTGCAAGATCAATGCAATATCTACCATATACTCTATCTAGATTTACCAGTGTAACATTTTGCCACATTATCTATCTTTGCTAAACCATTTGAGAGTAAGTTACCTATATCAAAAGCTTTTATCCCTAAATATTTCAGTGTGTCTCTTAATAAGGGTACACTTTTTCATAATAATTACAAAATTCAAGAAGCTTAACACTTAAATAAAACTATTATCTAATATAGAACCTATATTAAAATTTCAACAATTGTCCTGAAAACATTCCTTCATAGCACTTTTCTCCGAATTCGGGATTACATGTTGCCTTTAGTGACAGTCTCTTTAATCCCTTAAATCTATAAGAGATTTCAGCCTTTTCTTTGTCATTCATGACAATGACCTTTCTTTTAAGAGTATAGGCCAGTGGATGAGTAGAACATTTCTCAATCTGAATCTTTCTGATTGTGATTAGATTCAGAATATGGATTCAGAATATATACGGGATCTTGTATCCTTCTCAGTATCTCACATCATAAGGGCACATCATGTTATTTTTTCCCATAACTGGCTACATGATTATTTGGTTAGGGTGGTGCCTGTCCGATTTCTCAACTGTTACTACTTTGTCATGAATAAGAAATCTGAGGATACTTTGGGAGTATGTAAATATCTTGTCCCAGTGATTTTAATAACTATTTTAGGATTTTAAAATCTATTGACTATTCCATATCAGAATCAATTATTACCACAATGGTTGCAAAATGGTGACTTCCTAATTTCATCATTTCCTCCAGTGTAATAGTTGTCAAGAATTATTTCTCCCCTCCTGCCTTTATATTTAACGTTTTAAGAATGAATATGCCCTTGTGTATTCTTTTTGGAAATTCATTGTGTTATAAACCCATTTTGATCCTTACTCACTGGTGATGCTCAAATTGTCCCGGTTTTGGTAAGTGGGGGGGGGGGGGTAGCTTTTAAGCTGGCTCTCGTTTCCTTTTGACATGTGCTCCATTACTCTGAAAATCTTGTCTTCTGGCACAAGAGCTTCGTGGATATTTCATACTTTCCCTCTTTCTGCCCTCAAATCATCCATTTCTCAAGTCTGGTTCCTTTCAGCAGAGCTTGGCATTTAGGAAGCAAGATCTGAAGGCATGTGTAGTCTATTTCAAAATATGAGAATCACTGTGTTCCTGCTTCCTTGGGCCACTGCGTGGAAGACTGGTGTGTGGTGATCTGCAATCCTAGCTCCACCGTCACCTGCACGCCCCTGGCGATGGCCTTCATTCCTTGGGGTTTGATCTATCACCTGAAAAGAAACTGGATTAGGTGCCTTTGCAGGGTCACCGACACGTCTGTGCATCTGGCAAAAGCTACACTCCCATCTCCCCAGAGACCGTCTCAAAAGAAGCAAAAATTCGCATACATTTTAGGAGGAGCTGAGGCTCTGACGTCCCTGGCTCGGGAGATGTGTGTGTCTTCAAACGCTGCCATTCCGTGAGGACGTCCGTGAGCGACCGTGCTGCTGTCAGAACGATTCCTCAGACATCAACGTGCGGAGGGACTTGTACAGAAGCAGGATCTCAGTGGATCCGAAGACAGGAGCCCGCGAGCAACGCGCCGCCTCAGGCGGTTCTCCGCCGCCGCCGCAGCTGCGGGCGCTGGGCAGGCACAGGTGAGAGGCTTTGGCGGGAAGGCCCCCAGGCGGGCGGAGAGGGCCGGGGCGGGGGGAGGAAGACCGCCGACCCGGCCCGGGCCGCTGCACCCCTCCGTTCCGCCCACCAGGGCCCGCTCTTGCCCTTCGGCTGGGCGGCCGCCCCGCCCCTGGCAGCCGCGAGGCGGCGGCGAGGCCCGGGCGCCCGAGTCCGGAAGGAACGCGCCGTCCAGGCCCCGCCCGTCTCCCCTCGCGCCCGCCCTCCCGGCCGCCGACGTCTGCGGGGCTCCGGTCGCCATGGCGACCAATCGCGGCCCGGGCCCGCCCCCGCCTCCCGGCCCCGGCCCCCTGACGTCGGCGCACGTCAGCGGCGGCGCGCGCCTGGCTGGGCCCAGCCGAGCGGGAGGGAGCGAGCGAGCGAGCGAGGGAGCGAGGGAGCGAGCGGAGCGGCGTCGCCGGAGCCCAGCCGCGCCGCCGGCCCGCCAGCCCGCCCGCCCGCGCTCCAGTCCGCCGTGTCTAGCAGCGGGGCCCAGCATGGTCATGGCGGATGGCCCGAAGCACTTGCAGCGCGGGCCGGTCCGGGTGGGGTTCTACGACATCGAGGGCACGCTGGGCAAGGGTAACTTCGCTGTGGTGAAGCTGGGGCGGCACCGGATCACCAAGACGGAGGTGCGGCCCGGGGCTCGGCGGGAGCGTCCGAGGCGGGCGTCCGGGGGAGAGGGCCGGGCCGGCTGCAGCGGGCGGGTGCGGGCGGGCGGCCGGGGCTCTGGCGGCGGCGGGGGGCCTGGGAGGCGCGGGGCCCGCGCGCCCGCACCCGCACCCGGGTCGTCCGGTTGGGAACCCGGCCGGCCGGGGCTTCGCCTTGTCTGCGCCGCCCGCGGTGGCCGCACGGAATTTCTCCCCGAGCCTCCCACCCGGGCCGTGACCCGGTCTGTGGCCTCCGCTCCCGAGCCCAAGTTCCGCGTCTTCCCTGCTGTCGGCGGGGGGTGGGGTGGGAGGGGAGTGCGGGCGCGGGTGCTCCCGGGGCCGCGCGGCGAGGGGCCGGCTGCGCCCGGGCTCCCGGGCTCCCGGGCTCCCGGGACGGGGCACTGCGGCGCCCCCGTGAGCGCGGCGCCTCTCCCGGGCCCCGCGGGGAAGGGGCCCCGGTGGCCGGGAATGCCCGGACGGCCATTGTCCATCTCCTCTCCTTCCTTTTGCCCGACAGCGTCTCGGAGTGGGTGTCAGGCTGGCTTGATCCCGCGCCTGAGGCATTTCCATCTAATACTCCAGACAATAGAACGGGTTAAGATGGTCAGCTCTGCGTTGGCACGGCGGGCGGCTCCGTCTCGCTCCGCCCGGGTCGCCCCTGCCAGGTGTGCGTCCTGGCCGCGCACACGCGTTCCCTAAGCCACCTCGATCCTGCGTCTCTACTCCTAAAGCCCTCAAGCCGCTTCCTGGCGCTGAATCCGGCAGCCCCCACTCCGCGGCACATTCTGATGCACCGTACAGATTTCCTCCCCAGGCTCCCTTCTTACCTAACCCGCCCCCCTTCCTTTCACTGCCTCAAGCTGCTCTCCTCAGGGTCTCTATTTTAAGACGTGCAAATTAAATACTTCGGGAAAACTGTAGAAACAAAACCATTCTTTAGAATAAAACCTTGTGTTTTTGATGTACTCTACCCTGCCTTATTGTAGTTGTTCTGGAGTTTCGTCCCTTTTCGGGTTGTTGTTTCTCTCTCTCTCTCTCTCTCTCTCTCTCTCTCTCTCTTTTCCCTTTCCCCCAGTTTTCATCCTACTCAGTTTTTCCCCTTATTCGTGCGAATGTGCTACAGTTTGAATATGCACTAACCTACGAAATGGATTTTCAGAATGGCTGTGGGAGGTGAAGGACATTTGAAAACTTCAGTGATTTTTGTTGCTGTGGTTCTTGAAAGTTGTGCTTAATGTGAAGGAATCCATTTCCAAAAAGCAGGGGCGTAGGTCACTGTGTCATCTTCACTTTTTGCCCCCCCCCCATGGTGAGGTATTTCAAATCCGACTTCTTTTATATAGCATCAGGACCAAGGTCACAAATTTTCTCTCGCGAATTTTACCATTCTTACTAATTATACTAAGTTCGTGATGATAAATAATGTGACTGTAGTGAGATTACTGAATCTTGATCCCAGCATTTCTAAAAATGAAGGAATTGATTCCATTTCTCTAAAGAACCATGGCCTAATGCCATGCTATTTCCCCATAAATTACATTAAAAGAAGGCATTTTTTAAAATTTTTTTATTTATTTATGATAGTGAGAGAGAGAGAGAGAGAGAGAGAGAGAGAGGCAGAGACACAGGCAGAGGGAGAAGCAGGCTCCATGCACCGGGAGCCCGACGTGGGATTCGATCCCGGGTCTCCGGGATCGCGCCCTGGGCCAAAGGCAGGCGCCAAACCGCTGCGCCACCCAGGGATCCCAAAAGAAGGCATTTTTAATGTGTATTTTTAGGAGTCCTTGCTTAATGATTCTAAAAATCAAGCAAATTGTGCACTAAAGAAAGCTACAGAACTTTGGAACATTTTTATGTGGGTGAATTCCAAACCCATTAGTTCATAATTTTTTTTCCTCATCGGCTTTTATCTGTATTGGTCGCGAGATTTAATTAACTCGGCTGTTCCTTATTAGGTCAAATATAGATAATAAGTTATCTATTTAAAGCTGTTTAGGTGGAGCTGGAAATGAGTGACACTTTCTCTTGAGGTTGACAGTTCAAACCCAGTCCCTTTTAAACTGATATATCTGGTGGAGCTAGGGGGCGCTGCGGAGTAGTGCCGTGGTTTGGCTATCAGAGCCTGAGATCAATGCATTTGTAATATTGAAGGCACCGGTCAGATCGTGAAAGATATATGTGAAAAATTATTTACTTGAAAAGCTAAATTTCTAGTCCATAGAACCTGTCTCCCTTTGCTTTTCAAAAGAAAACATGTGAAAGAAATAATGTGAATTTGAGATGGGTGAATGTTTCTGGTAATTTGGTTGTGAATGGAAATTTTAAAGTTTAAATTTTAAAGAGAGGGAATGAGGGAAATAGGGAAATTAATGAAGAGAAAAGTTCTCGTAGATCTCAAGTTTTGCAGAGTTGCCCTGTAAACTTTTGTGGTGATTTGCATTAAGAATTGTTTAGCAATGGCACCGATACATTTGTTTCTTACACTATTAATGTGGATTTTTAAAGCAGTGTTATCTTCACTCATTGACTGGATAAATATTTCTGTCTTCAATAAATACAACTGCCTCAAATACTATATAATTAAGATGGTTAATGGTGGAAACCTTAAAGTTTTATTTACCATTATTTTAGGTTCTCATTGCTGAACGTACTACAGTAATTAGAGTGAAAACAATTCAAGTGGCATAAAGAGCAATATCAGCCAAATATCATGATTATACTTTTTATAGAAATTTCTTCAATATACTATAGTATGGTTTAAGATCAATATAAGTTTGTGTTTTGAAACTTAGAGGGGTTTTTCCCCCCATGTTTGAACCCAACGCAAATTTTAGGGCTTAGTATAAATGTCTGTGTGGTAAACAATTGGACCTTGTTATTTTTACTTGGCTCTCTCTGTCTCTTCTTCCGAATCCCTGAAGAATGATGTATTTTCTACAGAGCTTGGGAGATCCAAGACTGTTTGCCTTTTAGGAAAAGAAAAATCAGTACACAAAAAGAGATCTTCATTTTGGTCTAATCTATCAAATAGCTTAACGTTGATTGTTTAAGAAGTATAATTACATCATCATCTGAAGCTGTATTCTCATGTTGGATCTCTATGTAAATTTTGCACACAAAAGGGAAGGCAGGTGGTGGAAGAATCCAGCTTCCTAATATAATACTTCAGAAAAGCTTTGTAGTGTTGGTTTCTGGTTTATGAATTAGAGTAGCTAATTTTATAAAATTAGCATAATGGGAAAAGAATAATAGCATTTAGACTGTTAAACTATTTTAGGCAATAGTGGTTGCTATTTTGCTATGCTGTGAGTGTCCTTGAGTAGTGTTTTATTAAAACAGCGCTAGCAAAGAATTTTTTCCTTCTAATTGTATGGCTAGTTTTTTGTTGGATTTGTCAAATAAAATTCCAAAAAAGTCATTTGTGCCCTTGAGTTGCTTTTGTTTTCTATTAAAGAAATAGTCTTACTGTAGAAAACATAAAGAAGAATATACAGTGCACAAAAAGTACATGTGCAATTCCTCCACCAATCAGAGTAAATCATTCTCATGGCATATTTCCCTCTAGTCTTTTTTTAAAAAATATTTTTTTCCATAGATGAGATCACATACCACGTACGCTTATATAAATTGCATCCTTTTTTCCACTTTATAGCATATTTTACATGCTGTATAAAGCAGTTGTATTACATACAACTTTATAAACTTTTTAATAGCTGCATAGTGTTCTACCTCGTAGATGAATTCTGTCTTATTGAACAGTTTTCATATTATTGAACATTTCCAGTTTTCACTTATGGTAAATAATTTGGGTGAATAACATTTGCATATGTAACTCTGTGTCTGCAGTTTTTTCTGGGGGAGGGGACAGAAAGGAGGAGTGGAATTCAGAGGTAAATTCCTAGAAAGGAAATTACCTGGATGCAAAACTGGTAGCAAGAACATTCTGAAAACTGCTTTTGTTCACTGAAAAGCTTTCTGTGTGTATTTTGGGGCTTTTAATTTCAGGCATAATTCTTTGCTACCTTAAAATGTAAGTATTTTTAAAGCTTTCCAAATAAAGTATCAAAATTGCATTTTTAGAGCAAGTGTAGAAACAACAAAAAAAGAATTTATACCCTGATTACAGTGTTTCTTGAAGAAGAGAACTTATTTTTTAATACATTTGAATTTTATATCTTCCTTTAAAATTTTAGGACTCCTCACTAGTCTCGGTATTAATCTTATGCTCTGAAATATTCCATACTTCAAGAAGCAGCTATACTATGTACAACAGAAGGACTGGTTACCAGATAACTTAAGCGCTATTATTTGTATCTGGGTCTGTGTATGGTCTTTATAGTGTGTTAAGATGAAAATTGTATTTGTCCTGAAATATATGTGCTATATGAGAAACTGTTGTCTAGTTTCTTGGCACTCCAGACAAGTAATATTTGTCATATTATTCTGCTAAATATTGCTCAAAAGGATCTGTTCTTTTTGGGGAGTGGTTGGGGACAAACATCCAAAATAAGAGTTGTGTAAATTTTTATATTCTGTAGAAATTTTTAACTTTAACAGAGTTTAATGCATTCTGATTTTAATTCCACTGGGAAATTCTGAATATCTGGCAATTAAGAAAACATTTATTTGGAAATAACTGAAACTGGCTTCCATTCCTGGATTCATATGCTGACATTTGACTTATGGGCCAGTGCTGATGATAGAGTCAATTTCTTGGAGCCAAATGGATTCCAGAAATTCATGAAGATGCCATTCTTTTCTATATAGTATACCTAGGACCTCTTCTTCTACCTCTGTATTTTTGGAAAAAAAAAGTTTTTTAATGTCTTAATATGCCTTTATACAGAACACTTATGGGGAATGGTTTCTCAACCTTCAAGGAGAAACAGTCCCTATATCCAGTTTGAGATTATTAGAAGAACGAGAGGCAGCTATATTTGGGGATTTCAGCAGAAACTCTTCATTTCAAAAATATTTTTAAA